AAATAGAAAAAATGGTTTTCGGACAATAACTGGAGTAAGGATTGAGATATTGTAATCTTATTTGTGTAAAGGAAGCTTATATGAAGACCTGGGTTGGTATTGCATTTGGGCCCCCTGGGGTCAAGGTCACTGTTATGAAAAAATAGAAAAATGGTGTCCAGACAATAACTTGACTTAGGAATGAGATACCATAATCAAACTTGGTGTATAGCAAGCTAATATGAAGACCTGGGTTGGTATTGCATTTGGACCCCCTGGGGTCAAGGTCAAGGTCACCATTACTAAAGATAGAAAAATTGTTTTCGGACAATTACTAGAGTAAGGAATGAGATATTGTTATCAAACTTGGCGTATAACAAGCTTATATGAAGACCTGGGTTGGTATTGCATTTGGGCCCCCTGGGGTCAAGGTCAAGGTCACTGTTATGAAAAGTAGAAAAATGGTTTCCGGACAATAACTAGAGTTAGGAATGAGATATTGTTATCAAACTTGGCATATAGCAAGCTTATATGAAGACCTGGGTTGGTATTGCATTTGGGCCCCCTAGGGTCAAGGTCAAGGTCACCGTTAGTAAAAATAGAAAAATGATTTTCGGACAATAACTGGAGTTAGGAATGAGATATTGTAATCTTATTTGGTGTAAAGGAAGCTTATATGAAGACCTGGGTTGGTATTGCATTTGGACCCCCTTGGGTCAAGGTCACCGTTACAGTGTTACTAAAAATAGAAAAATGGTTTCCAGACAATAACTAGAGTAAGGAATGAGATATTGTTATCAACCTTGGCGTATAGCAAGCTTATATGAAGACCTTGGTTGGTATTGCATTTGGGCCCCCTGGGGTCAAGGTCAAGGTCACCGTTCTGAAAAATAGAAAAATGGTTTTCAGACAATAACTAGAGTTAGGAATGAGATATTTTAATCTTATTTGGTGTAAAGGAAGCTTATATGAAGACCTGGGTTGGTATTGCATTTGGACCCCCTAGGGTCAAGGTCAGTGTTACTAAAAAAAAAAATGGTTTCTGGACAATAACTACAGTTAGGAATGAGATATTGTAATCAAACTTGGTGTATAGCAAGCTTATTTCGAGACCCCAGTTGCGATATCAATTAATTGAAATATTTCTTTGTACACAGTTGATAGTTTGTGTTCAAATTTTTCTTCAGACTACTTTTTTTCAGAAAGTCAAAGTTGCTGGTGGGGGTATTAATCACCTTCAGTGATAGGTCTAGTTCAATTAAACTTCATCAATGGCCAACCACATTGAAAGGAAATGCAACATACATGAACCACAATTATCTTTAATTGCCCACAACCATAACTCTATGTTTCAATTCTATTACAAGGTATTCTGTTACTAGTAACATCCTCATTTCCAAAGCAGACTTGTGGGGGTATTAATCACATTTAGTGATAGTTTTAGTTTCAATTTGGGTAAGGCTCTCTTTCGTTACAATTAATGAAAAAAAACATTTTGGATGTTTTGACAAATTCACATAAATTATACAGTATTTATAGAAAATATTGCTGTCATCTCCAAGCAATAACTGTAACAACATGGGACATGTGAATAGCTTTTCATTTTAGGTAATTAAAGTTGATTAAAGAACACACAAAGCGTAATTATCAGGATTGTCTAAATACACGCATGACTGTTGATATTTTTTCACAAGTCGACCAGTCAGCGATAGGATCGGTGCCAATTGGTCTGGCTTCGAATAATAGGTGTGAAATTCTTTCATAATCGTATAATCTGGACCAAAATTTTACCTCGAAAAACAGGAGGTATTCGGATAATGCATTTCGAATAATATGCTCGTATTTATATTGATTCATATAGAGATAAAAACGGGACTGCCGATCTACTTTGGATAATGCCGGGTATTCAAATAAAGGGTTGTAGAATAACCGGGGTCGGACTGTACTATAATGCATGAAGAATAATATCTATTTCCATTTTAACACGTCAAGATAAAAAATATTGTTGGACGGTTAAATTTATTTTCGCCTAATGTTTCCAATAGTAATGTTCTTTAAAGGCGGTTCCAGTTGGTTTAAATACATGTTGCTAAGTCTACCATCTGTAGAAACATTTTGAGAATAATGAATTTTGAAAACGTTTGTTGATAAAACTTTTGTGTGTTTATTTTGTTTTACTTTATATTTTTCAAGTGAAATACAGAGTATTTATAATGAAATAATAGTGAATTTTTTTTTCGAAATAGCATTCTTGTTTTAACACACTGTTTGGCGCTACAATGTGACTCACATAAATAACTTTAAACGTCTGTACTGAATTAAAGATATTGGTGTTAATTTATTTTCTTAGTCTTAGTCTTTCATTCTAGATAGTTTTCAGAACAAAATTCAACAAAAATAATTTTATTTATCAGATTTTTTAAACAAAATGGCGCCTTCATTGTGTTGGTCTGAATATACAGAGGGAGTAAAATAAGAACGGCGTGTGCAGTGTTGTGAAATATAAGGGCCTTCTTTGTTTATATAAGAGAAATCGCCTATAGTGTATTAATATCTCATTAACTACTGAAGATATTCAGATAATTATGATAGCGTATTTTCTAAGATTCATAGGTCTACCTTGCATCATGATAGAATCCTTAGTTTGTATATTGACAGAATTTTTCCCACCAGAACATCTTTTGACTTTTCACATAAATAAGATAGAATCTGTAGGCATGTTCCTTAAATTCTCGCATTTGATCCCTTGCCTAAACTGAAGTTTGTATTTCGTTGTATCAGTACCTGTGTTTGGCAACTTGGAATTTTCTACTTTAATTAATGGATTCAAACTTTAACACTCATTTACCAGGATCCTGTTTTTATGCCCCCTAAAAGGCAGCATATTAAAATGGCACTGTCCATCTATCTGTTGGTCAGTGCATCCCAACTTCATTTGTGTCCAGACTGTAACTTTGTCATACATTGAGGGATTTTGAAATAGCTTGGCACAAATGTCTACCACATCAATACCATGTGTTGCATCCAAAAACCAGGTCCCTAACTCAAAGGTCAAGATCACTAACATTTTGAAGTTTCACATTATCTCAATTAGAGTTAATAGGTACACATTCATGTCCGGACTGTAACTTTGTCATGCATCAAAGGATTTTAAAATAACTTGACTTAAATGTCTACCATGTTGCGTCCAAAAATTACGTCTTTACCCCTATGGTCAAGGTCACACTTACATTTTGAAGTTTCACATTATCACCATTAGAGTCAATAGGTACACACAATCGTGTCCGGGCTGTAACTTTGTCATGCATTGAAGGATTTTAGAATAACTTGGCATAAAGGTTTACCACATCAAGACAATGTGTCGCTTCAAAGAATCACATCCCTACCTCAAATTGTCAGCTTTGGGTAAAAAGGTCAAGGTCACTTAGAAAGGTAAGGTGCTCCTCCTGTTGCAGCTCTTGTCCTACTTTCTTCCAAGTTGGTAATATCTAAATTTGTACTAAATATTATTGTTTATAGAGTTTGTAGTCAAAGCAACTGATTCCTGCTGGATGGCCATGTCTTTTTAGTTTGCATGTGTTTTTACAATATTCTTTTACTTGTTCTTCTTCCAGTGGAGGAAAGTGTGTTACAACACCATGATTGTAATAATCACATAAATGTCTGTGTTTCATGTATGAGGAATTCATATTGCAATCCCATCCATTGTCATTCATGTGACACAAAGGTGACACCAACTATAGGTATGTATTAAATGCTGTATGTAGAGCAAATAGTCATTGTAAATGTGTGAAGAAATAAGTTAACCTATGTATTAGAAGATTGATATTGGTCCACAACATATTAATTATATAATACCCCGGTTAGAAGAAAATGGGGTGTTGCTAATGTCGGTCGGTAAGTTGGCCTGTCGGTCAGGTGGTCTGTCTGTCGGTAGAACACATGGTTTGGCTGATGATCTTGAAAACTATTTATCACAAAGTCTTCATATTTCACATACTGATTGGACATAAATAGTAGATGATGCCTATTGATTTTGGGGTCACAAGGTCAAGGTCAAAGGGACCATAAATGTCACAATGGTGTCTGCTCAATATCTTGGAAACAATTTATCACAAAGTCCTCATATTTCACATACTGATTGGTCATTACTAGTAGATGACCCTTATATATTTTGGGGTCACTAGGTAAAGGACACAGGGGTCTAAAATGTAAGAATGGTTTTTGCTCATTATCTTGAAAAAAATTATCTCAAAGTCATTATATCTCACATTTTGATTAGTCATAACTAGTAGATGACCTATTTCGATTTTTGGGTCAGTAGGTTAAAGGTCAAGGACATGAAATGTTAAATTCGGTAATATCTTTATAATTAATGCTTTTTGGAACTTACAAAATTGATAAATCTTGAGTTTGAGCATAAAATCACAAAAAAATGTGTAACACGATCCTTAAATGTCGGAATAGTTTTCACTCATTATCTTCAAAACTACTTGTTATCAAGTCTTCATGTTTCACTAGTAGATGATTTTTAGGCCACTAGTTGAGGCCACTAGTTCAAAGGTCAAGGTCACAATAACCTTGAATGTTTTTCTCTTGACACCAATTAGTGACTAAATTTTTATATTTCACATATTCATTGACCATAACTAAAAGATGACATTTTTTTTAGTCCCCTACCGGTTTACCGGAGGGGACTTTAGGTTTACCCTCCGTCCGTCTGTCCGTCTGTCCGTCCGTCCGTCAGTCCGTCCGTCTGTCCGTCAGTCCGTCCGTCCACAAAAGTGGATCCCGCGATAACACAAAAACTACTGAAAATATTTTAATGAAACTTGATATATGGATAGATGGCAGTATGGAGATTATGCACGTCTTTTTCTTTTCTTCCTATGTTGAAAATTCTGGTTGCTATGGCAACAAATAGACTGAAAATATGGCAAATTTTAGACATAACCTGGATCCCGCAATAACGCAAAAAGTACTGAAAATATTTTTATGAAACTTGATATATGGATAGATGGCAGTATGGAGATTATGCACGTCTTTTTCTTTTCTTCCTATGTTGAAAATTCTGGTTGCTATGGCAACAAATAGACTGAAAATATGGCAAATTTTACACATAACCTGGATCCAGTGATAACACTAAAAGTACTGAAAATATGTTTATGAAACTTGACATATGGGTATATGGCAGTATGGAAATTATGCACATCCTTTTCTTATCTTCCTATGTTGAAAATTCTGGTTGCTATGGCAACAAATAGACTGAATTTCAAGATTTCTGATTCTAGTTTTTAAGTTTTTTCACTATAAGTTCTTTATTTCTTAAGGTATTTTCTTCAAACTTTAAATATAAGTTGCTTGTAATCAACCACATCATATGTGACAAGGTTTACAACTCTAGCACAAAATTTATCAGAATTACCTCCCTTGAACTTAAAATTTTCATGAAAAAACATTGTTTTGTTTTTTTTTAATAACTTCTTTTTCTGAATGTATCTACTTCAAACTTCATATAAATGTTTCTTATTATCACTCAACATTTGTGATGGTCCAGTACTCTAGCAAGACTATTTCCAGAATTATCCCCCTTTTGAACTTAGATTTTTTTTTTGAGAAATTGGTAATTTTTACTCCAACTTCTTCAATCATGATAGGATTTTAAAAATGATATATTTTGATAACAGGGATGTTTAAAAAATAACTGTAGAGTGTCCTTCAGTCCGTCTGTCTGTACATAAAAACTGTTTCCTGTGATCACTTTTAAAGAACTTTTTCAACAAATTTACTTAAAATAGGAACATAAGTGAATGGCAAATGGCCCTTCAGAATGTTGCTTGGGCTCTTACCGGTAGGGGACTTATGGATTGCTTGCAATACTATGATAATTGCTTGTTTAATTTGGGGTCATAGGGGCCTTAAATCTTGTAATGGTTTACGCTCATTATGTTAAAACTACTGTTCATGAAGTTTTCATATTTCACATATTGATTGGTCATAACTAGAAGATGACCTGTATTGATTTAAGGGTCACTTGGGCAAAGGTCAAATTTAGTTACCTCAAATATAAAAGTCATTTCCGATTAATAACTATGGAATGGCAAGTCTCATAAATGTCAAAGTTGGTCAAAAACTTCCATGTTCTGATTTTTGGCATGTATCTATAACAAAATTACCAACAGTACAAGTCAAGGGCTAGAAAGTTGGGCATACGTGTTTTTCAGCATTTCTTGTTAATTTGTTTATTTTTCTTTCATGTAATAACATTAAAAGACAATATTTACTAATGTATACATGAGAGGGTATAGGTCACATGGCCACTGTCCAGCCACTCTTGGGTCATATGGCCATTTTCAAGCCACTGTTAAGTAATATGGCCAATTTCCAACCACTTTTAAGGTCAAATGGCCATTTTCAAGCCACTGTAAAGTCATATTGCCAATTTCCAGCCACTTTAAGGTCATATGGCCATTTTAAAGCCACTGTAAAGGTCATATGGCCACTTTCCAGTCACTTTTAAGGTCAAATGGCCATGTTGCAGCCACTGACAAGGTCTTATTGCCACATTCCAGCCACTGTAAAGTCATATGGCAAAGTTAAGAGCCACTGTTAATTTCATATATTGCCACCTTCCAGACACTGTTAAGGTCATATGGCTACTTTCCAGTCACTGTTCATGTCATATATGGCCACTTTCCAGTCAATCAATGTTCAGGTCATATGGTCACTTTCCAGTCATTGTTAAGATCATATTGTGACTTAACCCACTGTAACGGTCATAGTTATGGGCACTTTCCAGCTACTGTAAAGGTCATGTTTCGGCACTGTAAAGGTCATATGGCCATGTTCCAGCCACTGTAAAGGTCATATGGCAACATTCCAGCCACTGTTAAGGTCATATTGAGAAGTTTCCTCCACTTTAAAGTTCATATGGCGACTTTCCAGCCACTGTAAAGTTCATATGACTACTTTCCAGCCATTGTAAAACACTTAACTTAGCTAGCAGATAACTTTCTCATGTTACAGCTGTAAAGTCCAGTGCTTTGATGTCAAAAATTAACCACCTGACCACAAAGACCCATTTATCAATTTGAGTATTTTTTAGAAATAAGTACCACAATTTATAATGAAGTTGCTTTTTATGTACTGATAAATTTGGGATGTTATTCACTATGATTAATGTCATATTGTTAGTTTCTAAAATTAGTATTGGAAACAAGCTGTCTGTTTATTTTAAAAGGGAACATAAACTATTTTTCTTCTGTATTTTCTAATGTTAGGTCATAACTGGGCAGCCTTGCTGATAGCAGGGTACGATACACGTGATTGGGGGGCCAAATCTTTCAAAAAGAAGATGTGAAAGCAATTGAGCAAGTGATTTCTTCAAAATGCCCTCTTGTAATGGGTGTAAGGTAAAAAATAATTATTTTAAGAACAAAAAAAATTAAGAGAAAAACAGAATACCTAAAAGAAATCCAACACAAAAAATTGAAAATTTGCAGGCCCGGTTTTTTGATTGAGCCCTGTCAACCTTTTTCATTGAGGTGGAAAAAATGTTTTTAGATGGAATATTAGGAAAAAGTACATGTATATGGAAAGCTGTCCTCTCCACATTTAGGTTTTTGTTAAAAGTTTTGTACATCTACAATATGTTTTATTTCTTTAGGAATTTACTTCAAATTTCAAAACTATACTGGTTTTTAGCAGTTTCCCGCCCCCTACAGTTTTCTGGACCTTTATCATTTTTATCCAGCACACTCTACTTTTACCAAAGTTAAGGCATCTATTTTACTACATCATATCAGAGAAATTCATTCTATGCCAAACACAGCAGTTTAAATATAACACGCCATTTATATGTTTTGAACTTTTTTCCTGTTTTTTGTCGCCTTTAAAAAGGCACATATAGGGGTTAACTTTTTGTCGGCTGCCGTCGGTGTCGGATAAAGGGCCAGAAAAGGAAGCTGCTAAAAAACCAGTGTATTTTGAAATTTGAAGTAAATTCCTAAAGAAATAAACATATTGAGTAAATATATTTCAATAATACAAAAACTTTAAGCTTGTCCGGAGCATTTAGTCAGTCATTATCAGTTGGATTGACTTCAAACTTGGTATGCATGCTTGTTATAATGACCTGAAAGTTGCAGTGCACAAGAACAGGTACTCTGCATTTTTAATTTTTATTGCCCCCGCCATATAAATGGCCGGGGCCCTATAGTGTGTTTACCCCTGTTCCGTCATTCCGTCCTTTCCATCATTCATCCTTCCGTCTTCTTCCTTTACCGTCATCAATTAGTTTCCGTTCATTTTCTTAATAACGGTTGGCACACTTCAAATCAAAATTTTTGACATATGGATATGTCATGAGAAAATTACAGGTCCAAGTTCAATTTGGTCCATGGTTCAGATGAATTTTTTGGCAGAGTTATTCCCCCTTTTACTTTGAAAATAATATGAAATTTTTAGTTTTTCCTTCATTTATCATCCCCAACGATACAACACATTCAAAACTCAAACTTTGAAAATATGTTAGGTCACGAGAAAATACAGGTAAAAGTTCAATTTTTGGTCATGGTTCGATATTTTTGGCAGAGTTATTCCCCCCTTTTACTTTGAAAATAATATGAAAATTTTTAGTTTCCGTTCATTATCTCCCAAGATACAACACATTCAACTCAAAAACTTGACTATGGATAGGTTGCACCGAGAAAATAACCAGGTCAAGTTCGAATTTTGGTCATGGTTCGATGATTTTTTTGGCCAGAGTTATTCCCCCTTTTTACTTTGAAAACAAATATGAAATTTTCAGTTTCCGTTCATTTTCTCCCCCAATGGTACAACACATTCAACTCAAACTTGACATATGGAATATGTCCCCAAAGGAATGCGCAGGTCTTTTTGGTTCAAATTTGGTCACGGTTCAATGATTTTTGGCAGAGTTTATGCCCCTTTTCACTTTGAAAATAATAGAAATTTTGCAGTTTTCTGTTTATTATCTCCCCAACGGTACAAACACATTCAACTCAAAAATTTGACATATGGATATTTTTTGAAATTGCCCAGGCCATGTTCGAATTTGGTCATGGTTCAATGATTTTTGGCAGAGTAATGCCCCTTTCACTTTGAAAAATAATAGGAAATTTACAGTTTCTGCTTCATTATCTACCCAACAGTGTTACATATTCAACTCAAATTTGACATATGGATATATCAAAGGAATGGGCAGGTCAAGTTGGAATTTGGTTATGGTTTGATGATTTTTTTGAGTTATTGCCCTTTGTTAATTTCATACTTTATTTTTGTCCAGGCCATTTCTCCTAAAGTATAAAAGCTGTGGTCTTTAACCCTTTAAAATAATAATAAATATAAAGAAAATCATACCATCGACAATAATTATTATTATACTAACAGATTTGGAAACATATATAATTATTATAATACTAATTACAAATAATATTAATTTATTTAATTAATAATATAGTAATTTCTTAGAAAACCCTTGGCAAATAGGTGATCAAATAAAAACAATAACCTCTGGCAGCCAAAGGGTTTAAATTTCATAGGCATGATAGATCTCATTAAGAAAAAATGCAGTGTACAAAGAACTGGTACTCTGCACTTCTTTATCTTCTTCATTTTTTGTCCTGGCCATAAATTCTCCTTAAAACTATATTGTTTACAAGGCGCCACATCCGACTTGCGGAGTTCTACTTTAAAAAGTTACATATGGGAACTTGGGACACTAAAAATAAACAACACCTGGGGATTTCTAGTTTGAATGCCCATGCGCTATAACTGAGACCGCCATTCTAGGTAAATCAATACCATTTTGAAAAAGTATATTGCAGACAATAAGGAAAGGTCTGGAAAGTTCTATTTCTTTTGATAAAATCATCTTAACATTGGATAACTGGTACTGAATTATGCTCAAAAAAAAAAAAAATGTTCCAAAAAACTGCTATGAAATTTTGAATAAATATATAAGAAAAGGCCCCATGTTTCAAAGAGTTAAAATGGAAAGTAAAAGAGAAACATTAAAAGCATGGTAATGCAGGACAGGTACCTGACTTTGTACTCTCAAAGTTTTTTACTCATCCGTAGGCATATTTTCATTTGTTAAAAAGTGAGGTTTGGGGTCGGAAACTGCTAGGAAACCAGTATGTTCTTAATCAATACCCACATCATCAGTGACAAGGTTTATAACTTTTAACACATATTTTTCTCAGAAATATATCCCTTTTAAACTGAATTTTCTTTAGAGAATTATATTTCGTAAGGAATTTTCCTTTCATCAGTCACGTCATAATTATGTGGTAAGGTAAATATCTCTATCAGCCATGATATTCCCTTTAAACTTAAAATTTCCTTGAAAATTTTTGTATTTAATTTAACTTCTGTATTTCTTGAGGAACTTTAAATGGATAAGATAATTTGAGCCGCGTCATGACAAAACCAACGTAATGCATTTGCGACCAGTATGGATCCAAACCAGCCCGTGCATCTGCGCAGTTTGATCAGGATCCCTGCTGTTCGCTTACAAACTTTATAACAAGTAGAGAAACTGATAGCGAACAGCATGGATCCTGATCAGACTGCACATATGCGCAGGCTGGTCTGGATCCATGCTGGTCACAAACGCACTATGTTGGTTTTGTCATGGCGCCGGCTCATTTGACTTCAAGGGACACACAATTTATGGTATCAGCAGTCTTTAGAGAATGAATTATATGCAACAATGTAGTATTTTCTTTTTTGTATCGTAGGTAGCTCTAGTTTAGGATAAAACTTTTATCATTTAAATGTAGTTAAACTAATTGAATTGATATCTTTGTGAAAAAAAACAAACTGTTAGTAAGTACTTTTTGGCTGAAAAAATCTGTAGTGAAAACTAATTGAGCTCTTATCTAGAGCACTGCATTTATTTGACTGTCATGGGTACATATATGGCAAGCTAGCAATATCAATTTTTTTTTATTTTATTAGCTCAACAGGGCTTATGGACTTGATTTAATTACCTTAACATTCCTAAGTTTCATGCAAAATGTCTAAGCTCTAGCCTTTATTATTTCAGAGGAGATAACCTTATTTCTAAAATTCTTGGTAATACATATAACGTACATCATGAGACTACCGCTACAGGACCTATTTTGACCAAAGCACTATTATTTGCATGAGCTTGGTAGTGGTCCACTGCATGATGTTTCATGCTTAATATCTAAGCTCTAGCTTTTATAGTTTTAGAGAAGATGATTTTCAAAGCTTTCACCATCATATACATATAAGGAAAACGAATCCTGGACAAATCCCCTCCCAGAGGATTCCCCTTCCATATTATTTTCACAACCCGTACATTTCCCCTCCCGTTATTTTAATTGGACGGACATACCCTCTCATAAATTTTACAGGGCAGACAATTCCCTGCCTGTTATTTTGGCAGAGTGGAAAACTCACCTCCCATATTTTGACAGAGCGAACAATTCCCCTCCCATTTCTTTACAGAGCGGAATGTGACATTATACACCGCTGTGTATGAGAAAATCTTTAACCATTCTTATTAAGGATGAAAGTTTTTACTCTTAACAACAAACTGTTAGAGTGGGGAAGTTTTAACAATCATTATTTTACAAAGATGACATTATACGGTCTGTAATCATTGCCGCCGCTGTGTAAGATAAACAAACTGTCAATGAAAAATCTTTAATCATGGCCGCCCTTAATTAAATGTGTTTTTGATTGCAAAACCAATCATTTACAAATATTTTTTATCCATTCATAAGGATGAAAGTTTTTACTCTTAACAACAAACTGTTAGAGCGGGGAAGTTTTAACAATCATTATTTTACAAAGATGACATTATACGGTCTGTAATCATTGCCGCCGCTGTGTAAGATAAACAAACTGTCAATGAAAAATCTTTAATCATGGCCGCCCTTAATTAAATGTATCTTTGATTGCAAAACCATCATTTACAAATATTTTTTAATTACTGTTAAAGCATATCACAATCATTGATTTGTAAGTAGTGTACTTAAAGTATTTACTCTTTTATAATGAGAGAATTGTCTGGGTTGTTAAAAGAATGGGAGGGGAATTGTCTGCCGTAAAAAAAATAATGGGAGGAAAATGTCCGGGTTGTGAAGAAACTTACAAATTTATTGGGAGGGGAATCGTCCGGGAGCGAAATTGTCCGGATACCAAGGAAAACCCATATTCCCCTTGGACAGGGGCAATTTTGACCTCAGGGCTATTACTTGAACAAGCTTGGTATTGGTCAACTACATAATGTTTCATGTCAAATATCTAAGCTCTAACTTTTATGGCTTCAGAGGAGATGTTTATTAAAGAACAAAAAAGGGATTGGACCCACGCCAGATCCCTGGGAGATGCTTTGGTAGTTTAGCACGAAGGAAGGTAGTCTATCTCTGGTGTATATCTCCAGGAACAATGGTTAGGAAACTACCCGCTTATATGACTGAAATACTGTTTGGAAAAGGTGTAAAATGAAACAAACAAACAAACAAAAAGTCAAAATATAAAACAATTGTTAAAGTGACTATCACTTTTTGTGCCCCCACTTTTGGGGTGCATTTAGATTTAGCCGTGTCCGTCTGTCCGTCCGTTCTCATTTTGTGTCGCATGTAGCTCAAAAAGTATTTGACCTAGAGTCATTTAACTTTACAGGAATGTTGCTCAGCATGTGTAGTTGTGCACCTGGGTATTTTCGTGTGAATTTATTTAGTATTTGTAGAGTTACTGCCCTTGACTTCGTAAAAAATTTGCAATATTCAGCTTGCGTTGCACATAGCTCAAAAGTATTTGACCTAGAGTCATGAAACTTTACAGGAATGTTGATCAGCATATGAAGTTGTGCACCTGAGGTTTCACATGGAGATTTATTCATTTTTGTCAGAGTTATTGCCCTTGATTTATTAACATTTGGCAATTTTCAATTTGTATCACACATAGCTGAAAATGTATTTGACCTAGAATCATGATCAGCATGTTGAGTTGTGCACCTGTATATTTTCGTGGGGATTTATTCAGTATTTGTAGAGTTACTGCCCTTGATTTCATAAAAATTTGCAATTTTCAACTTGTGTCACACATAGCTCAAAAGCATTTAACCTAGGTTCATGAATATTTACAGGAATGTTGATCAACATCTGAAGTTTTGCACCTCCCAGGGTTCTACTTGTGTTTTATTTATTTCCTTTTTAGCTCGACTATTCGAAGAATATGAGAGCTATTGTAGTCGCCCCGGCGTCGGCGTCAGCGTCCGCGTCGGCGTCTGCGTTGGTTAAAGTTTTTTGTAAAGTCAAATATCTCAATTATTACTTGAGATATTCAATTGAAACTTACAATACTTATTTATAGTAACAAGGTACATCAGATTGACAAGTTGGATAACTCTGCCTACAATATTGACAGAATTATGCCCCTTTTTAACTTAGAAATTTTGGTTAAAGTTTTTTGTAAAGTCAAATATCTCAATTATTTCTTGAGATATTCAATTGAAACTTACAATACTTATTTATAGTAACAAGGTACATCAGATTGACAAGTTGGATAACTCTGCCTACAATATTGACAGAATTATGCCCCTTTTTAACTTAGAAATTTTAGTTCAGTTTTTTGTAAAGTCAAATATCTCAATTATTGCTTGAGATATTCAATTGAAACTTACAATACTTATTTATAGTAACAAGGTACATCAGATTGACAAGTTGGATAACTCTGCCTACAATATTGACAGAATTATGCCACTTTGGAACTTAGAAATTTGGGTTAAAGTTTTTTTGTAAAGTCAAATATCTCAATTATTGCTTGAGATATTCAATTGAAATTTAAAATACTTTTTTATAGTAGCAATGTACATCAGTTTGCAAAATTGCATAACTCTGCCTGCAATATTTGCAGAATTATTTGCCCCTTTGAAAATTAGAAATTTTGGTTAAAGGTTAAAGGTCTTCAAAGACATTTACTTAAAACTTTACACATGCATTGCACTTAGAGTCATAATTGGAGGTTCATAATTGTATGTCACTGACTCCATATGTTCCATAACTCTATCTTGCATTAAGGCTGATTCATATCCCCTTTTCTACTTAGTCTCTTGGTTAATGTTTACATGCAAGTTTTACATATCTCAATAACTATTAAAGATATTTATTTAAAACTTCACATATGCATTTAGGGTCATAATTGTAGGTCACTGACAAAGATCCATAATTCTATCTTGCATTAAGGCTGATTTTTCTCCCCTTTTTCAACTTAGAAATTCATGGAAAAGTTTTGCTTGTAAGCTGTTATCTCAATAACTACTGAAGGGTTTGTGCCTTTTTTGGGACAATTTTATGCATTCATATTAATAAAGCAGTGATTTACTTGATAAAACATCTTAATAACAAGCCTTTGTACCTTTTCTGTCAAATTTATGTATTCATAGGTAATTGGTATTATTATACTCAATAAAACACCCTTGTGACGTTACCTTCCGAATAGTCAGGCCAAAACTGTATAATTAGACTCTCTCTAAGGCCTATAACATGAATTTATAAAAAAAAATTAGCCCTTTTGTGAACTTAAAAAATTTAACATTATCAAGTCTCTTTTACTATCACGCACTTAGAATAGTCGAGCGTGCTGTCCTACCGACAGCTCTTGTTTTTAGAGTTATTGCCCTTAACTTAGTGAAAATTCGCAATTTTCAAATGGTGTCGTGCGTATCTCAAAAAGTATTTTTTCTAGAGTCATGAAACTTAACAGGAATGTTGGTCAACATGTGTAGTTGTGTACCTGGGGTTTCGCTTGTGGATTTTCCAGTATTTCTAGAGTTATTGCCCTTGACTTAGTAAAAACTGTTCCATTATGTTGTGTTATTTGTTCTTTGAGTGCTTGAGTTAAAATCAACCAACTAAGGAAGTCTTTTGTCAAGTTTCAAAACATCAACTATTTGCAATGAAGCTCTTTGTAAATGTTAGTTTGGTTCCTATGCCTATTTGAACTCATTTTGATCAGCTATCAATCCACCTAACCTATTTTCCTGAATTACCAATTCATCTTCACAAGACCTACTTCCTATTGTCACAGAGATTAGCCGCACTTGAGAATTAACCCAGTAAAACCCTTGATTACAAATCCAGTGTATTCCCTATAGAGCTAACAGGTAGAGTTAACTGAAGCTATTATTGGGAAAATCCTATGAAATTGAACTTAACATGTCTTAAAGACACACATATTTTTTACATTTTCAGCACTAGTAATATTCAAACAGTTTGTCCAGAAGAGAAAGGAAAACCAGATAACATGTTAGACAAATTAAAAACATCTAAAGAAGCCTTAAAAGGTATAAAAGGTGTTCAAACTCTGCTTGTTTATTATTCCGGCCATTATAAGCCAGATGAGGGGGGATTTGAACTGGTTCATAGCAAAGAAGGAGAGACTGGCATTCAGTATGAAAAACAATATCTTTCAGCTGAAGATTTTCAAGAGGTTATATCAGAGATTTTATATGGATGTGAACCAGCCGCGGAGTCAAAGAGAACAATAGTATTTCTAGATTGTTGTGCTGGGCCTGCAATTTCACCTACTAAAGAGAAAAAATCAATACCAACTTCATCTGGGGATACAAGTCAAAATCAAAAGCTTCCACGTTTTACTCTGAGTGAAAATGTAAAGATTGCACAAATTAATGCCAGCCGTCCAGATCAAGTTTCGGTGGAGCAACAAGGGGGTAGCCCGTTTAGAAGGTATCTTGTTCAGTGCCTTACAAGAGAAGCTCTGGGTGCCAAGTGTTTGAATGAGAGCTGTAATCAGTGCAGAATTCAAGGGGATTTTATAACTATTGAAAAACTGTTGGATTATTTAGGACAACATCTGGATCAACACCCTAAAATGGAGCAATATGACCCTGTTATGAATTCTTACAATGTTAGTAAATTGGATGCCAAAATAGGATATGTTGTAAACTTCAGAGTGGATTTAAAGTTTACATTCAAGTTAGATATGAAAGTTGATAAACATACAATTTCACACCTTATGTTCACCGAGTTCAAGGAATTACAATGTTTGCTGTTTGATGAATTTGTAGGTAGGTTTTAACTGAGTTATAAAGTATTAACGTTAATATATATATATACTATGTTTTCTTATTTAAGGTTTATTTATTTCCTCAGTGTTCCTTATTTTTTGGTCCTTTGTAATCATTGTGAAATTATGCCTGTATAAGCTGGTGTTAGGAGGTGTATGAGTTATTGCTCCTTCACATTGTTTCTCATAAACAGGCTAAATAAAAACCAATTTTGCCTACTAAATGATACCAACTTAAAGCTCATAGATATGGGAAGACAACACTGAAATCACTCTGTACAAATTGCATGTAAACTCTATAAATCCTTTACCACATGAAGGAAAATTTATCAAATTTGGCAAAATGTCCACCTTAACTAGATTTATTTGCAGACTCCATGCCAGAAGGTTTTTCTTCAAGCTTAACATTTTCATGGTGCATATCCATATCGGTATCCTCTTTGAGAAATCTGCTCAAACGGTACCCTCTTTGAACATGCACAGGTCATTCTCTGCTAAAAATAAACCAGCGATGGATAACAATCCAGTAAAATTTCATTGTAATAAGGAAAGGAGGTATGACACGTAGAAAAGATGTATACCACGGAACACTAGAATGTTTTATTTATGTGCTGATTTGTCATGTGCCCATTTTTCATGTACTGCAACTTCACAATAAGCTACAAAATATCGACATGTCTTGCCTCGCCCATCACCTCGTCATATTTTTCGGGCTGAAATGAACCTGTGGCTTGATTATATATGCATCATACATATTTAATATGTCCATATACATATCATCTTCGGACAAATGGCAGTATATTGTCAAAAATAAATGTAAAAATCATAAAAACACCCTACTTTCGGTTTTGCAGCGACACAGGCTACTTGGCTTCATTTGAATTTTTATATCACAGGTACGTACCCTCTCATTTTTGAACATATAGGTACCCTCAAAGCAAGATATATGCTTTTATTTGCGTTAATCGTTAAGTATGTATGTCATATTTTTTACTTTTATGTAAATATTACATACTTAGCGATTAACGCACATGAAAGCATATAAAGCATATGTCGTGCTTTGAGGGTACCTATGTGTTAAAAAATGAGAGGGTACCTATGATATAAAAATTCAAATAAAGAGAGGTAGCCTGTGCCGCTGCAAAACAAAAAGTAGAGCGTTTTTATGAATTTTTCATTTATTTTTGACAATATACTGCTATTTGTCAAAAGATGATATGTATATGAACATATTAAATATGTATGATGCATATATAACCAAGTCATAGGTTCATTTCAGCCCAAAAAACATGTTGAGGTGATGGGCGAGGCAAGATATGTCGATTTTTTGTAGCTTATTGTGAAGTTGCAGTACATGAAAAACGGGCACATGACAAATCAGCACATATATAAATCATTCTAGTGTTCCGTGGTATACATCTTTTATCTACGTGTCATACCTCCATTCCTTATTACAATGAAATTTTACTGGATTGTTATTCATTGCTGGTTTGTTTTTAGCAGAGAATGACCTGTGCATGTTCAAAGAGGGTACCGTTTGAGCAGATTTCGCAAAGATGGTACCGATATGGATAGGCACCATGATTTTGATATTTATGAAATGTTTGTCTTCATACTTGAACACAACAATTTTAGGACAGAAGGATATCAAACTAAATTTTACCTTGACTTGTACATGGCCTTGATCTTGAAGGTCATTTTTTGTTATTTCACTGTTTTTTTGCTATAAGTAAGCGATGAATGGATTGTCTTCATGCTTAGGCATAACAATCCTTGGGACCCAACATTTATGAGAATTTAAGTGAACTTGACCATGTCTTTTATTTGACCATGACATTAAAGGTATAAAATAAGGGAATTTTGCTAACAGAAATGTAGAAAAATTAAAATAAGACTTTGATTTAAAAATAACTGACCGTCAAGCTGAGATTATTGAATTTTGTCTAATTATGATGTATTTACAATGTATCATGTATTTACAGTTTTGATTCATTCTTGGATATTCAAAACTGACATGTTGTATTATTCAAGTATGACCTTGACCTCAAAGTGACCTTGACTGTCATGGTCAGGTTTTATATTTTGCTTAAATTGCCATAATTTTGCTATTAGTTGTAATGGAAAGTTTTGATTCATACTTTGACAAAACAGCACTTATAACAACACTGACATGTTGAGTAATATAAGAATGACCTTGATCTGTAAATGATCTTAACTAACAATGAAATTTCAGTTATGTTTTGTACAAGGAAATGATATATTCTGACAGAATTCTTTCTTACAATATTATTCTTTTAGTGTTTGTGATTAAGAAATAAGAAAACATGTTGTGTGGCTCTTGATTTATTTGTTCAGTTATTTGTCCATTTTATCACAAGCTATAGTTGTTTCTTTGCAAATCATCATCTTGTTAATGAACCATTCAATTTTAGCAAAATACAATTAATTTTAGTTTCATAAAGCAGTGATATAAAATCAGGATCTTTGATCCTGATCAAGATTTTTCCCTTAACATTGGGCCTGGTTATTTGTTGGAAACAATTAGTTTGTTCTAAATTTCCATTAGTTATCTGATTTGATAATATCTAAATGGATTTGTACATTTAATACTTGAAGTGACATTATTTCAGAGAAAATGGAGCTTGATAAATCCATTGGAGATGAGCCAAAATTAGATACAACAGAGTTATATGGCATGATTTGTATCGAAGTTGAGAAAATTCACCAGAGAGATAAAATAACTACACTGGACCAATTGATGACTGCATGGAATGCTAAACGAGAGCTTTTGGTCACATTAAGGGCAGAGGCTGAAATTTATAATGGTATGGTTGGAAAATTTCTACCCAACGGCCAAAGTGTGGATCCCATTTTAAAATACTTGGAAAAAAGTGATCATGTCAGGGTAAGTCTTATGTTACTTTTTACTTTCACTTCATTAGTTTTATGAAGTTGTGAACATAACTTACCTTGAATTATGGACAGTTCCTTTGCAGACTTTACTTGAATATGTAAATTGTAAACTCTAGCTACAGTGATGATAGATTCTTCTCAGACTGTTATAATGTATGTCTATTGTGGTAATGTACAATATTGACAGACAAGACCCATTATTTTTGCTTCCAGCAGTTAGATCATGATAAACATAAAACATAATTGTAACATCCTTTATAAAACTGATATTTTGTATTGACATCATTACTAGTACATGACCCCTTTTGACATTAGGGCCAGTCAAGGTTATAGTAGCCTTGACCACAAACAGCTGTTCTGACTAATATATACAGTGAACACAGTTGGTGTTGAGGTTTTGTCAGGGCTATTAGATGAAGCAACTGCTTTGGTGATTAGTCAATCACTGGTCAAGTCACAGTGGTTTGACCACTAAAATCTTGTCCCACTGCAATAACTAGAGAACTCCTAGACCAACAGTACTAGGTTTAGAGAAGAGGTTTGGCCTTAATATAGTAGATGACACCTATTTGATTTTGGGGTCAACGGGTCAAAATGCCTGTCCAACAAATATTTAGAGTACAATTTGTTTGACAGTCTTACATTTGGTATAGAGGTTAGTCATGACTAGAAATAACCCCTTTTAAGGGTCAGTGTGTCAAGAGTCAAGGTATCTATCTGTGTGTATCTAAAGTGTGTTTGACCAAAAAGGAAAGAGAGACATACAGTCCTAAGATTATGTTTTGGAGGTTGCTCATGACTAGAAAAATGGTCAGTCAGTGAAAGGTCAAGGATATTTGTTGTTGCACTAAAGAAAAAACCTTTCCTACCAATTATGAATTAACCCTGAGGCATACATTCCTAAGATTTGGCATGAAAGTTTGCTATGATAAGACATAGATAATATTGGAACCATTTGGTCAAAGGTCAAGTTTAGTTGTGACCTTGACCACAAAAAAATTGTCTAACCAATAAAAAGAGAATACACCTATGGTCAGAGAATTTTGTGTAGAGGTTTATTGTGGCGTGTAGATTATCCCTGTTGATAGTGGAATCTGTCATTCAAAGGTCAAATTCATCAGGGGTTTAAACTGTTTTGCCTCACTTGTAAACCTTGTCAGATCATTAACTAGAGAAAGCTTCACATACAGTTTAATGCAGAAGTTTGTCATGACAAGTAGTTGATCCTGGATATTTTTTCACATCAGCTGGCAAAAGGTCAAGATTACATTGGCTGAATAGCTGCACAGATTTTGATGAAACTATAAAGAAAAGAAATTTTGGTGGAACTGTAAAAAATGATAGTTATAATAATTATTGATCTGATCAGCTCCTGTTAAGTTATAATAATTATTGATCTGATCAGCTCCTGTTAAGTCATAATAATTATTGATCTGATCAGCTCCTGTTAAGTCATAATAATTATTGATCTGATCAGCTCCTGTTAAGTCATAATAATTATTGATCTGATCAGCTCCTGTTAAGTCATAATAATTATTGATCTGATCAGCTCCTGTTAAGTCATAATAATTATTGATCTGATCAGCTCCTGTTAAGTTATAATAATTATTGATTTGATCAGCTCCTGTTAAGTCATAATGATTATTGATCTGATCAGCTCCTGTTAAGTCATAATAATTATTGATCTGATCAGCTCCTGTTACAATGCTGAACAGATTTTTATTAAACTGACTAGTAATGATTCATTGGTTGTCATTGACAAAGATCTTTGATTAATTGAGTGTTTTGAAATTATAAATATCCAATGCCATTATAAGTGCTGTAATCTTATGTTGTCACTTTGAACTTTTTCAGATGGCCTATAAAGATTATATAACTGTAGCCAAAGTTGACATTGTGAAAAACTTTAAAAATCTGCTTGATGACATTGATGAGGATTTGTTGGGCAAATTTGATGATCATATGGTGGACATTGATAATGCTATGAAGCAAGACAAAGAGGTACATGTATAGGAAGCTTAGGAAACATAAATGCCCCTACTTAGCTTTGACCCTTTTTAGCTCACTTGTCAAAAAGTGACATGGTGAGCTTTTGTGATCACTTTTCCTTCGTCTGTCCATAAACTTTTACGTTAAACTACATCTCCTCATAAACCACTAAGCCAATTTCAACAAATTTATCACAGGAATGTCCTTTTGGCAGTCAGCTTTAAAAATTGTTCAAAGAATGTAATTCCATGCAGAACTCTGGTTGCAATGGCAACTAAAGGAAAAACTTAAAAAATCTTTTTAAAAACCGAAACAGCTAGAGCTTAGATATTTGGCATGAAACATTGTCTAGTCAGTGTATACCAAGTTTACTCAAATAAAAGCCCTGGGGTCAAAATTGGCTCCGCCTGGGGGGGGGGGTCATAGATTTCCCTTATTTGTTTTAAGTGAAAACTTAAAAATCATCTTTTAAAAACCCAAATAGCTAGAGCTTAGATATTAAGCATGTCTACCAAGTTTGTTCAAATAAGGGCCCTGGGGTTAAAATTGGCCCGGCCCATAGGGGGGTCATTGTTTTTCCCTTTATGTATATAATAAAAAACTTCTTTTCAAAAAAATAAACAAAGAGCTAGAGCTAAGATATTTACTTCTAGTGAGTGTCTACCAAGTTTGTCCCAGTAAGGGCCCTGGGGTTAAAATTGGCCAAGCCTTAAAATTGGCCAAGCCCCATGGGGGGAAGGGGGTCATTGATTTTCCTTTTATGTGTATAGTAAAAACTTAAAAAATCTTCTTTTAAAAACCCCAAATATTTAGCATGAACATCTTCTAGTGGGTGTCTACAAAGTTTGTTCAAATAAGGGCACTTGGGTTAAAATTGGCCCTGTCCCGGGGGTTATTGTTTTTCTTTATATGTGTATAGTAAAAACTTCTTATAAAAAAGCCAAAGAGCTAGAGTTTAGATACTAAGTATGAAATACCTTCTAGTGAGTGTCTACCAAGTTTATTTAAATAAAAGCCCTGGGGTCAAAATTGGCCCCTATGAGGGGGGGGGGGGGGTCATTGTTTTTCCCTATATGTATATAGTAAAAACTTAAAAAATCTTATTATAAAAAACCCAAAAAGCCAGAGTTTAGATACTAGTGAGTGTCTACCAAGTTTGTTCAAATAAAAGCCCTGGGGTCAAAATTGGCCCCTCCGAGGGGGGTTCATTGTTTTTCCCTTTATGTATATAGTGAAAACTTAAAAAATCTTATTATAAAAACCCCAAAGAGCTAGAGCTTAGATATTTATCATGAAACATTTTCTAATGGGTGTCTACCAAGTTTGTTCAAATAAAAGCCCACGGTTTAAAATTGGCCTTGGACAAGGGACCTATATACAGGTGAGCGATTTCAGGGCCATCACGGCCCTCTTGTTCTTTTTGATGTTACAATTTGAAAGATTCCCCTTAGTTTGTTTATAAGCAGAACTTAGAAGAAAGTCCAGCAAGACACCAAAGTCCGGCAAGACACCTGAATGAAAATAGCGAAAATAATTGTTTCAAGTTTTGAAATTGAAAAATACGAAAAATGACAATAAGCATATTATTTCATCAATATTTCTTAATATACCATTTACAAGTATATAATAAATGTCAATATATGGCCTCAGATATAAAGTTTATATTATAAATTGAAAAGAAAAAAATATACATGATTGTAGTGACTTTTTTTCTCAAAACTGAAAATGTATCACCATGAACATTTGCTTTGATAAAACCTTTATTTTCCCATTCTATAGGAGATAAAGAAAGTAAAGGAGCTACATATAGTGTTTCTTTGTAAAATTGATGAAAACGGGAAAAAGATTCATAGAAGTAACTTCATTTGTTACCAGCTCAAGAGAGAAGATGATCTACTTTGAGAATTACAGAACTTCAAGAGAGAACACACAAATACATGTAATAGGATGGTGATGGTCAATTGATTTAAAGTATTTTCTTGTATTTAAACGGTGACAAAGATATATAGAGAATCTCATTTTATATAACATGAGATGTTTAAGCAGCAGAGTTCTCCACTTTTCTCAGTAATGGATAGTTTATTGCACTTTCTTGACAGAAACAGTTAATTTGTGCTGGACAGTTTTTACTAGAAAGAAATGAGCTATGACTGTGTCCAAAGACTGTGCTTGTTTCATATTATTACTAGTGGCAGAGTGGTTAAGTCATTGACTTGAAATGAGACAATCTCTGTGGTATTTTTAATGTTTTTTTATAATGGCACAAAAAATCTAGTTATTTACTGCTTAAAATGTTTGAAAGGATATTTTTGCAAATTTTGACCTCTTGGTAATTTACTTGAATTGCAAGCACCATTTGCAATTTCTTTATTCAATTCTTTATTCAATTCACAATATTTTACTTTTAAATACATTTTCAAAATTTTGCGAAAATTAGACTAATGTACAAGAATATATACTGTTTATTAGACATTATGTATACTTTTAAATGTTTTGAGTTGCATCAGAAATTCTTTTATTCATTTGACTGAATTATATGACTGGCCTCCATTAAATGGGAGTTGAAAAATTGAGCATTTTGCTTGAAAGTTAATACATTTGTACCAGTATTTTAGTACTTGTAGTTAAAATTGTGAAAGGCACATTAAGCCTCAGAAACAAATATTTTTCCTTCTTCAGAAATGTCAAAAAAGAGTTTTATCATGTTTAAGAGCATGTTAAATGCTTATTACTTAAGAAAATAGCACTAAAATGAAATTATTTGTTATAGCAAAATGTGAACAAAGTAGTATTTGGACTTCCTTTCAAAATATTAACTCACCATTACTGTTCTAATTGCCAAAAAGCAACAGAAGCAAAAGGTAGTTAAGTTATTTGGCCATTGAGAAACTTTATAGACAATATAATAGGGCATCAAAAATGCAGAGTTTTGAGGAATAGAAATAAATGCATTTCTGGGGCATAATGGGCTATTATAAATAATGAGTGTAATACATGAAAGGAAGTGAACAAATGTATTTTGGATAGTTATGAAATCTTTAATGAGCTTTAAAAATAGAAAAGTTATTCTTTAGCCTGCTAGCAAGCAAACTTGCTTCCCTATCAGCATGGACCAGTTACTAAACTTTACCGATTCAACTTGACACATCTGTGGGGTCAGAAATCATGGTCCCTGCCACTTTTGCCATTCAGTCAGTACTTGTTTTGAAATGTTACTGTCCCAATTAAAAGGTGAACAAAGCACATTTAAGATATTTATTGTTGTTAAGAGTTAATTGAATTGAATTTATGGAAGCACCATGTATTTAATCAGACATTTATGTTTGTTATCATTATGATTCATATTTTTAATTCCATAAACAATTGTGATATTTTGATAAAAATAAATGTGATTGTTTAGATAGGAAGATTTTTTAATATGATTTTAAGTTAAGATTTATGATATCTTGTTTTGACATTTAGTTTGTTTTTTATTATAAAGACATTTAATTTCTGTAAATATTTATATTTTTCTCAAGGAAGCCTTAAATATGTAGTTGCCACTGATTGGCAGTATGAAATTGATCAAACATGTCTTGTTGTGATTGACTTTACAATAAAAATCTATTCTTTATCTTATGACCTATTTTTTGGACTTTAGGTGAAAAGATTTTGGTGGTGGTAATGTTAAAAAAAAATCTTGTTGACACAGATAATTTATCTGGTTTGACATTATCTGAAACTACTGTGGAAATAAACTGTTATATTCTTATTATGATTCATATAGTTATATTGTGTTCCAATTATAATTTTATTTGAAGCAAAATTTCTCCATTACAGCTGTTGATAGTATTGAGGCGAAATCTTGTGAGGATTTGTAGTTCTTGATCATTTGTGCGGAACTTGGTACATGTAATAACTGGTTTAGTTATTCAAGAATACCAATTAGGGTGGACATGACAAAAAAATATTAAAGCTGCATGCCTCTACATGAGCCAACATATTTCATGAAAATCAAACTTAAAAAGAATGTCAAAAGATTTAAAGAAAAGTAAAGTATTCAAGATTTAAGTAAAATTATTTACATGTTACGTGTGCTAAAACACTGACTTTGTAGTATTTATCACCATTATTTTTACTACGTAACTAAAGCTGTAATGGCCAATTTTGCATATTTTGACCTATTTTTGATATTAATTTACTTGGATTGTAAGTACCGTTTGCAATGTATAAATTGCATGTTCACTTGACAATATTTTACTTTTCAATAAATTTTCAATATTTTTGTGAAAATTAGCATGAAACTGTAGGCATGCTGCTTATAGTACAATACTTGTTATGTTGGAAATGTTTAGCCAAGTGGCACTGAACTGTAAAACTAAATGTTACTCAAGTTTTCTGCTTTAATTATCATTTTTTCTTGAAGATATAACAAAGTTATTGCCGGAAATAATTTCAGATATTTGCTAATTAGACTTTAGCAGATAGATAATGCTACTTAACCTTACTGTCAGCAACATATGTGCCAACACTGCAGACCACGACCAACTGTTACATATGTGCTCTCTCATTATGATCTGCACTGTTTGCTATTCAGTCATATATCTTAAAATTATCTGTAAGAAAGGGAATTGATGGTTTTGTCCACATTGAAACATGGACAAATCCATTTAAGATATTTAGCATGGTAAGGAATAATGGAGGTGTTTCTCAGGGACGTGTTTTGTTATGCAACCCATGTTGTTAAACTCCCAGTTTAAATAGCTATACTAACATCTAAAACTTCATTAAAAATTTTTTATTATAATGATACATAAAAGAAGATGAAAAACATTCTCAATTGAAATAATTTTGTATTTATAAGGAGTTTTCCACAATGGAAAAAAAACAATAATGTAATCTATAGTAGAATTCTATAGTTCCTCTATAGTTCCAATTAGAAATATGTCCTGGATTCATTTTGTAATAAAGTTAGTATGGCAGCTTATTTCTTAGATAAAGTGCCTTTCACAATTAGGAGTTACTATAAAAGACTTAAAGTGTATAAAACTACATGTATAAATCTGCTGCAAAAATTATTGTTTGAATTTTAAAAAAAAAGAATACTTCGAAAATCCCTTCATGAAAGAATATGGAAGTAAATTGCCTTGAAATTTAATGGCACAGGAAATCAATTCTAAACAGAGGAGAAAGAACATTTATTCTGTTCACATACAATATTCATAAATTAATAAACAGAGGCATTCTATGTTACAACTCTTTAAGAGAATCGACCATAATATTATTGAACCAATATAATTTTACTGTTGATAGATTTTATAAAATCATTTTGTACGATGTAGCTTTATACATTTTAAGGAGCAAAAAATATCAAGTTTAGATACTTTTCTCTGTAAACAAATATTGCAGTTGTATCTATAAATAAAGTGCATTCACAATTATTATGTAGCTAGCTGTTTTCTTTGATTTAGATATTCATCACACTTTAAGAATTATAGTTGATATACAGTTGAAGTGCCTTTTTGATCTCAAAACTACATAAAAGTTGTATTGTCTTACTATGCAAGTGATAAAATTGATTGTATTATGCTGTTCAAAAAATGATGTTACCATAAATTTTGTCACATCTTACAACAAGACATTTTAATTTACCCATGTACTATATAAATGATTATTTTTTTTACTTCATATATATTGCAACCTATATTCCTATTTTTGTGAAATCACAGGGACTTGAAATGCTGTCAATAATAGCAGTTAAGTCTTAATATTTAAAAAAAATATATCCTGTCTCAATATTAAAAAAAAAACACTTATTTTATATAAGGATGGGATTTTTTTTTAAATCTGACAATACTGCTATTTTTGACAGAATTTCAAGTTCCTGTGTTGAAATGTTATACAGTGACTTAACCTCATTATCTATGTGTGGTCTGTTTAATTATTTGATATTTGATTCATGATTTTTTTCTTTTCCTGTTTTTTTTTTTTTTTTTTTTGAAATTATACAACTTAGATGTTATTGAATATTGGATACCATATTTTGCCAGCAAATTGACTTTGATACATTATGATTATTTAAATAGGCAATCATGATTAAATTTCACAAAACCATATTTTTCATAATATATCAGAAGGCAATTGTTGTTTTGTTGTTGTTTTTAGCTCACCTGTCGCAAAGTGACATGATGAGCTTTTGTGATCAATTTTCATCCGTCCATCTTCCATCCATAAACTTTTACTTTAAACGACATCTCCTCATAAACCACTAAGCCAATTTCATCCAAACTTCACAGGAATGTTCCCTTTGGACGTCAACTTTAAAATTTGTTCAAAGACTTTAATTCCATGCAGGGCTCTGGTTGCCATGGCAACCGAAAGAAAAAACTTAAAAAATCTTCTTTTAAAAACCCCAAATAGCTAGAGCTTAGATATAAAGCATGATATATCTTCTAGTAAGTGTCTACTCTAAGTTTGTTCTAATCAAAGCTCTGTGGTAAAAATTGGCCCCGCCCCAGGGTGTCATTGTTTTTCCTTTTATGTATATAGTAAAAACTTAATAAATCTTATTTTAAAAACCCAAAGAGCTTGAGCTAAGATATTTAGCATAAAACATCTTCTAATGGGTGTCTACCAACTTTGTTCAAATAAGGGCCCTTTGGTTAAAATTGGCCCCGCCCCAGGGGTCATTGATTTTCCTTGTATGTGTATAGTAAAAACTTAAAAAATCCTCTTATAAAAAACCCAAAGAACTAGAGTTGAGATACTTAACATGAAATAAATTCTAGTGAGTGTCTACCAAGTTTGTTCAAATAAAATCCCTGGGGTCAAAATTGGCCCCTCACAGGGAGGAGGGGTATTGTTTTTCCCTATATATATATATATGGTTAAGCTTAAAAAATCTTATAACAACCCCAAAAAACTAGAGCTTAGATATTGATCATGAAACATCTTCTAATGGGTGTCTACCAAGTTTGTTCAAGTTTAATTGGCCTTGGCCCAGGGGCCTATATACAGGTGAGCGATTTTAAGGCCACCACGGCCATCTTGTTGTCCTTAAATGCCAATTTTGTGAATGTATCAAACTTGTTAATGAAATTACATTTTGTATATGATAATCAGTTGTATTTGAAATGTGATTTACACATTAAAATTAACATAATAAAGAAAATTAAAGTAATTGAAGCGTTTATGATTTTTTTGCTGAAGTTGGGATGATTTATTTAATGGCAAAATGACTAAGTAAGTATTTTTAATTTTTTAGGAATACACACAACGTTTTTGAAAACATTGACAATGGACATCTGTCCTAAAAATGACTATTTGTCCGTCTGTCTGTCTGTATGAGATAAACCTGAACCAGCAAGTTTGCTTTTCTTGTACCAATGGCTTCATAATATAACACTAAGTAACCAATACAAAGTATACCGGTAATCAGTTCCTATGATATCACGGTTTCTATGATATCATGGTATTTACATTTTCTTTGACTGCATGTGAAAGCAACTTATGTTGATGATACTTTTCTTTAAACTGTGACACTAAATCGCATAGCATGCCAATAAATTTAATTTTGTGAATAAAGAAAATTTCTTATAAGAAAACAATTGTATACAATCTTCATATTTGACTACTTTTTCCCTTAACCCTTTACCGCATAAGCATATTGTGAAAAATGGCCGTTTTCATTAAAAAGCCTCGTGTTACATTCAAACTGCTATGAAAAATGCTTCAGTACTGATGAAACTTGGCACAAATGTTGACTGGACCATAGCCTCTGTAACAGCATGCTCAATCTTTAATTTCCTGTTACCATGGCAATGGGGGACATTTCAAAATTTCCATTGTTTTTTTCCCATCAAAACTGATTTTAAAGTGTTTCAACTTCTCAATGGATTGAGATAGAGTAAAAGGCTTTTCAGCGTTGGTTACACATTACCTTACGATCGACCTGAGGCCATTATTAGCCTGTCACATGTCCAAATTCTGTTTTGCGATGAGGGGGACTGCGGCCCCCCTTCAAACCCCCAAAACAGAAGGGGGCACATACCCCTTCAGGCAACCCCCCC